TTAATACTTAAGTAGGTTTTGTGTCAGAAATTTACTTTTGATACTTAAGTACAAATAATGCTGAATACTTTAATACTTTTACTCAAGTAATATTTTTAGAAAAGACTTTAACTTTTACCAAAGTATTTTTATGATAAGATACTTGTACTTTTACTCAAGTATCATTTTGAGGTACTTTATACAACACTGGATAGCATTTATTTTTTTCACAATAACAAGCTGGAATGAAAACAAGCAGAAATGAAATAAAAGTGACGACTTTCTGCTTCTTGTCTTTTTTAAAAAATGTAAGGAGTAAAAGTAAAAAGTAGGCTGAAAAATAAATACTCAAGTAAAGTACAGATACCCAAAAATTCTCTTTAAGTACAGTAACAAAGTATTTGTACTTAGTTACTTTACATGTACTCTGTCCCCTGACCTCCTCTGTTCTTCCTGTGTTCTGCTGCAGGAACCACCCCCAGTTCCCCCGTCAGCCTYCCCAAGTCCCCCACCTTCCCATCGGGCCGGGAGCCGTGGTCGGACGAGTGCTCCATCTGCTACGAGAACACGGTGGACACGGTCATCTACACCTGTGGACACATGTGTCTGTGCTACACCTGTGGCCTCAAGCTCAAGAAGATGTCCAACGCCTGCTGTCCCATCTGCAGGAGACAAATCAAAGACATCATCAAGACGTACCGCAGCACGTAGAGCAGYGGGGGGCGGGGCAGCTGAACCGTCCGTCTCTGACCCGCGCTTCCTGCGGACGCTGCAGCCGTTTGGTTTTTCCGAGCCGTGTCGTGGGAATCGGGCTCGTGTTGAAGCTCCTGACGAGTCTTTGTGGGTCTGAATCCTGCACCTGCAGCAGGAACCGGCTCAGAGTCAGGCTGAGGACTACAGGCAGTGGTTTTTCTCTTATTTTCCTGATTCTCAGTGTTTGAAAGAGACGCCAGCGCCGCTGACTGTTGTAAGTAGGATTGTAATCCCTCCTGTATAATCTGATGTAGTCGTGTTTAAGCTGTCGGTAGCTGTGTCGTCGTGCTAGCTGCTTGCTCCGCCGTGTGGTGAAATCAGCGTTTTCCTCTCAGAAACCATCAAACCAAGAGGAAGAAGAAATTTAAATTTGATCTGATCAACCTGCAGCTCAGAAAGTCAACAGGAAGTGGATTTTTTTTTAAGAGAAAACAATAATTTGGTTACTCCTCAGGGCAATCTGCTGTTCCTCAGATTTACTTCCCCAAATTCTGCTCCTGTAATCTCACCTGAAACACTGTGAGTCGTCCCGTAACGACACACAGTCAAAGGATTGTTGCCATGGTTACAGCCTCCTGCCTTAAAACAAAAACACCTGACCATGAACCAAATGCTGCTGCTGCCTGGCTCCGACTGCGGCAGCCCAAACAAAAAGCACACAAATCAGATTATTTTTGTAGAAGAAATCTGTTTCTAAGAATCAATAACTGTTCGTGACGAGACTTTTATCAGCCACAGAGATCTTTTACAGGAAGAGAAATATTTTCATTATTTGTTCGGATCTTTCTGATCAGACCCCTGATTTAAATGCACAGATTATTTCTAAGGTTGTACATTTAAAAAAATCAGGTTTTTACTGTAAATTATTTAGTTCAATCTCAGACAAACAGAAAAAAACATTCAGCAAAAACAAAAAACGTTGGATCTGTGAGGCCGGCCTCGATGCTTACGTCAGGGCGGGAAAACATCAGTCTGACGGGGGTCAAAGGTCATTCAGAGTCCTTCCTTCTGCAGAGAGGAAGATTTAAGACAGCTGACTGTCATCACCCTGAAGGTCAGACTGTGCAGCTCTGATGGAAAGAACCACATGAGAGACTGCAAACAGAACCCCCTCAGAGTTCTGCAGCTGAAACAGGCTCAGTATGGAGCGGTACGAGGGACAAAATTAAGACTATTGCTCAATCAGCTGTTGCTACATCCATGTAGCATGAGGCTATATCTATTAAAGGGCCAATATTATGTGTTTCTATTTAAATACTATACCATACTAAAGTATCTATGTCACCTTTAGCTGTTATTAAAATGCTGTTTTTATG